TTAACGGGATTCTCATTCGCAAAACGAGAGATACAAGCGTAATTCGTGACGAAATCCCTTTCGGCCGTTCGCGACAAACCTCCGCATGAACATCGGTGTGCGCGAGATCATCGATTTCCCTCGCTTCCACACGTTTTCCACGATGAAACGAGAATAGACGCGCTCCCCGTTTTGTTCTCTCGTCGGAGGTCTCGGCACAGTCTCAGAATTTTCAACGATTCGGAATTCGTAGGAGAGAAAGGCTCGGTCGATCGGATACCACACCGGAAATGGAACCCCGGCCTTCTTGGCGGCTGCTATGGCCGCTAAGCTACCTGGTCTGCCAGCGATTTCTTCTCTTAACATCGATACGATATATGACAAAGTAACACCGACAAAGATTTTTTCAGCATAAATATCCCTTCTCAGGCGACACGACAAGAGCGCTCGTAATTACGGTGCTTTCACGATTAAAACTGTATGTAATCGAAATGTACGTAATTCGTCGCGCATCGAACAAGTATGAAATCACAAGTGAAACTCCGAGAAACCAACCAAATTGTGTCATAGTTCAGATGACTTCTTTAATAACGCAATAGGAAGAACCGTGTAATTCTAAACAGGATTGTGATTGTTCACACGAGAATGATCTTCGAATTTCTTCCCAAGAAAACTGCACCACCTTGTTGCAACACCTTATTTCAATATCATATCCTCAAATCCGCGAACATGTTTACTGTTTTTCTGTAAAGTTGCAACATCAGTACCAAGAATTCACAGCAAACCGTCCAAATTACATTCAAGAATACATATAAAGAATCTCCTTAATTTCATTTCAAAAAATGATCACTTCTAAAGTTCCTTTTGACTAACGTCTACCAATAGAATATGTTGCTAATGACCCAGAGATGTCATTGCTATCTTAATCCTTTAAATAAGAAGAATGTTTATTTTATAAAACCTGTGCCGATATAATGTATCCTGTCAATTTTTTTCTATTAATACTCGTCCCTTAACACACCCCCTGTGCCAAATTGATATAGTTTTTGCAGACACCGAAGAAATAATCTGTTCTGTATATCGTTCCATATCTGTGTTGAATCGTTTTATTAGTTCTGAACAACGTGAATAATCTTCGATAAAACTTGCCACACCTGACCTTAGGTTTTCCTTCTCAAAGAAAGAATTCGTACAGTTAACCATTTATCATTCCAGTTTATTAATTTTGGACCGCTGTGTCAGTTCGATATCAAAGGACAGATTAAGCTGCAGAAATCAGGAACGGATGACTAGTATAAAAAAAATACTTCGCGAACAAATGCGTTTAAGTTAACAATTAGAAGAAAAAAACTCTCAAACGGGTTCCTTGGAAAGAGAAAATATGAGTAAGTCGCAGGTGCTTGTCGCTAGAAATACTTGAATTTCTTATTTATATTATTCTAATTCAGAGTAATTTTAAACTCGCGAAAACATTTTGATAGTAAAACACGTTTTATCAGCACCGTTTTGAAGCCCACGATATGCTCATGTGGATCAAATAGCACTTCAGCAACGACCAGGGATATTTCGACCCGGTTCCACAGTTCGTCGCAAAGGGAGAATGATGCAGGATTGATGCAAACCACATTTTCCGGACCTCGCTGTGTGTATGGAATGGCCGTCCTTCCCGCTGAAATTCAACCTAATGATCACATCATATGATCCATTTTGACGGTCGGAGCAGGCACTAAAGCGCGCATACTTTTGAACCGCTGAATCAATCTTTGCTATTAATTCAATCGTGAGAGGCACAATCTATCGGTGAAAGAGATTTTATGAAGCGTTCGAATCTGTCCGTCAATATCAGATCAATTTGAATCCATTAAAAAGCGTTAATAACGCATTCATTAACCCATCAGAAAGCAAGGAATACTACAAAGAGCAAGCAATTTATTTGATGAATTAAAAACTGGGAGATAATATTTATCGTAGTCATTTCAGAGAAATTTCTATCGAACTTCCATATGTTACAATTGAGTTAAAATCACAATGGCCATAAGTCACATTTTCCTCGTTGTGAGAAACAAGAAGTGTTATCGTTTACTAACACGTGTATTTTTTACTGACCAAATTTATTGCTAACATAATTTAGAGTTAAGTTAATTTATGATACATGTATAATTTATTTCACTTATCGTTGCTGTTTTAAAAAATAAAAAATAAATAAACTTGCTATTTTAGGGTATTGGAGCCGATTGCTTTGCTGTTAATATTAGATCTTATTTGATAAATATAAAGTTAATTGCAATTAATCACCCCACGGTAACCGGCTCCACTACCTTTGTTTGCTTCGATGAAAAAGCGCATGGGAACGAATCCGGTTCGCGAGGGATCCCTATATCGAACAGCATTATCCTAAATGCTAAATGACCAACATTGTGCTATTAACTTCTTGCCGTACTTTGACGAGTCCGACACGTCATGAAATTTTAGTAATAACTTATTGAATATACAGAGTGTCCCAAAATTATGGTATTTCTGGGAAATGAGGGGTTCTTGGGGTCATTTGTAGCAACTTTTTCCTTAGCGAAAATGTTCTACGAGGCTTTGTTTACGAGTTATTAACGAAGAACACTGACCAATTAAAGACGAGCTCGGTTGGCGCAAGGCCGCCTCACGCCAATCGAGCTCGCCTCTCATTGGTCACTGTTTTTCGTTAGTAACTCGTGAACGAAGCCTTGTAGAATATTTTCGCTAAGGAAAAAGTTGCTTCAAATGATCTCAGTAACCCCTTTTTTCCTGGAAATACCATAATTTTGGGACACCCTGCAGATGTTATTCTGTCCTGTAAAATTGGAATAAAATTCGAATCTCTTGCCATCGATACTTAAGCATTCAAGCAAATTTAGGCACACAACAAGCATCAATTTTCTTTCTCTTCTATGAAATTATTGCAATCGAAAAATTTCTAATCGCAGTAACGGCGAAGAAAATGTTATATCAAGGTGTTAGCTCAGCACCATTAATAAACAAAAGAAATTAAAGATATTTCCTTGCAGCTTTATCGTCGGATCGATCGATGCCCTTACTGCTTCTATGACAGTTGCATTAGAAACGCAGTTATTTCTTACAGTTAACGTTCGAAGATCACGCGTCGATCTGACCAGATTCGATCTATTCTCGGCAAGGAATTGTCAAAATCAAACAGTCTAGCCGCGGCAGGCTGGCGACGGACAATCAGAAACGAAGCTATTAACAGCAATCGGATTCCGAGGCGCTTACAGCTGATTAATACGATCCCCGATACTATTGCCGTTACCCTATCCGGGTTTAGAATCACGACTCCTACGGCTGATTCGTTATAATTTGCTTTCGCTGACCCGAGCCATATCCGGCACTCCTAATCACAGCCCGGGGAGCTCGATTCACCGTGATTTGCACGGTCCATTTCCGATTCCATGACGCGGATTACTCGTAAAGATGAAAGAGAGTGGTCTTTCGATCGCCGATACAACCTGATCCATAACTCTCCCCCGCGCTCCCCACCCATCTCGATTCCTCTTCAGCTCGAAATTCTTTCACGGGCACAAAACGAACACGCTGCTTTTATTATTTCATCCGCATCGTTCTACTTTTCCAAATGGGGTATCGATTCCCGACGAAATCTCTCTCCGGCCGTTCAATCCCGCGCCGCTCCCTCTCTCTCTCTCTCTTTCTCTCTTTCTCTCTCGGCGAACTTCCGATTCGATCTTCGTGCTTTCCCTCCTATCCGCCAGTGTAAAAACGGAAAAACAAATAGCTTCGAGTGGCGCAACGAAAAAACCGACGTTTTAAGCGCTTTCGCCGATCCATCGTAACCGTCGAGCAACATATACGCGATTTATCGGAACGAATCGTCTCGTTTCAGAGACAATCTCGGGAGAGGTTGCTCGTCCCGTCGTGTGCACACTGGTCCAGAATCGCAGGACTCTTGAGCGAGAATCAAATATTTCATTTCCATCAAACGGCAGGCGAATTCGAACCCTTTGTTAATAATTTTATTGATCAAATTTGTTTAGATTTAGAGAGCTGTTGAAAGCGTAACTGTTGCATGGATCAAAATATTCAATTTCATATGCAGCAAATGCGCTAGGTCATATAAAATGGAGAAACCGTGGGTCGGTGAAACTATTTTAAATTTTGCGTTCATTCGCCAAAGGGTTAACTACATATTCTCAATAGGTCGAAATATATAATTTCGTAAAAGAGGAAATCGTACAACGATAAACTTGAACTGGTTTCGAAGCTTGAATCTTCTGCCGTTCGCTTTTCTCTAAAATGCGTTTATATTTGTACATGTGTAGTGCGCGAGCGAGCGTGTGCGTGAGAAGAGAGATGGAATGATTTACTAGGAAGCATTGATTTACTAGATTCTGCAGAAACGTTAATTACGAAATACATGTTCTGCACACGAAGTTAATTCTCTCGAAAATTATATTCGTCTTTTGAAAATCAAACTAATCCTTCTGCAGGTTTTGTTCGTCATTCTGCGAGTCAAATTAGCGCTATTAGATTATTAAGAAATTTGGGTGGATGGACACGTAATTTGCTCGGTGACGATTCTGAGGTAAGAACCTCTTACTAGAAGATGCTCCTGCTTTCTCCACGAGCAGCAGCAGTCGTTTCCCCAGTTCTTCGAAAGCGTAAAACCCACACCAAGCGATCCTCCGTCAAACTTGTAGAAGAAGAATAAATAAAGTCGCTGCAAACTCCGTCCAATTCGACTTGTACGCTCATTTCAACCGGTGACTCTCGGCCATCAAGTTGTTTGGGAGACAGCATACACCCACGCCAGGGTCGAACTAAAACGAGCATCTCGACATCGAACGACTACACGAGTGCTGAACGCAAGCTGTCGCTAACATACAGATGATCCAATAAACGTAGATCGCAAAGGATATACGGAGTCCCGGGCCGAAAAGAAGAGAAGAGGAGAGAAGAGAAAGGAAAAGAAGAAACGAGGCAGCTCGAAGAGAGATAAAATCTGTAGAGTAGGTACTCACACTCTCGAACTTGTCCTTGTTCTTAGCATGCTGAGCGATGAACCTGGCATCGTCGATGGTCTTCTCGATCTCGCGCACCAGCGGCTTCTCGAACGTGGGGCTGACGTCCTCGTGAACATAAGCGGGGCTGGCCGGACCGAAAAGGTCGTCGTCAGCCCCGGGCAGTGGCAGCGCGGGTAGGGGCTCGTCGAAGCAGGGGGCGACGGTCCCCACGGTGGCCACGGCGCCGAGGTCGTACCTGGTCGCCGAGGGTGGCAGCCCGTGGGCGGGTATCTCGTACTCGCCGCTGAACCGTTTCCCGTAGTACGCGTCGTACTTATCAGTCTCTTGTACATGGAACACATCGGTGAGCATGCCATCGGTCGCTTTCCCGTTGGCCGCCTCGACGTCGTCGTCCTCGTCGTCCTCGTCCTCGTCGTCGATCGGCTCGCCGTCCGCGACCCCGATCATGCCCATGCCGCCGTTCCTCGCGTCCTCCTCGTCCTCCTCCTCCTCGTCCTTGCTCGGCCTCTCGATGAAGAGGAACCGCGGCAACACTTGTATGAACACCACCCGCACCCATTTGGCCATGCGGTGGGTCACCGGCGAGCGAAAGTTCACGTTTAGCACGGCGATCGTCACCACTACGGACAGCGTGACCAGCACCATCGTGAACAGCAGGTACTTGCCGAGCAGCGGCACCGTTAACGACGTGGGCGGTATAATCTCGGCCAACAACAGAAAGAACACCGTCAACGACAGCAGTATCGAGATCGAGAGCGAGACCTTCTCCCCGCTGTCGCTTGGCAGGTAGAACACCAGCACCGAGAGAAAAGATATGCCCACGCACGGTATGATCAGGTTCACCGTGTAGAAGAGGGTCTTGCGGCGCAAGGTGATATTGAACACGATATCCGGGAATGGTTCCTCGCAGCATATGTAGAACGCCTCGTTCCTCACGGCAGGCACTTTTATGATGTCCCACTCGACGGAAATGTAGTAGTCGGTCAGGTCGATGCCGACTTCGATACGGTTCGACTCCTCGGTCTGGGCCAGGTGTCGGAGGTCGACCTGTGGACATTGTTTCGAATGCTTATTGTACGGCAATAGTCTATACGTACACTTCAATATTTTATTATTTCGTAATTAATTAAGCAAGAGGGTATCCCAAAATTATGATACTTCCGGGAAATTAACCCTTTACACTCGAGTGACGACTCTGAGGCGCCACTAAACATTGGTATACTATTTTTCAAGATCATTCTAAGAGCATCAGACTTATTTATATTTTTAAAACACTGTTGAAATTGCATTGTACTTGCCAATAGGCTCAATTTCATCTGCATAAATCGCAATGAATTATATAAAATAGAAACACTATAGATCAGAAATTATGTTCTGGTTTTCAAATTCAAATAGCTTCGACTACAAACGGTTAAGGATTCTTGTGGTCATTTGAAGTAACTTGTTTCTTAGCGAAAATGCAATCCGCGGTTTGGTTTACGAGTTATTAACGAAAAACACTGACCAATGAGAAGCGAGCTCGGCTGGCGCAAGGCGGCCGAGCCAACGAGCGAACAAAGTCCAGTTTTGTTCACTGGCTTTTCGCTAAGGAAAAAGTTACTTCAAATGATCTCTGAAGCCCCTCAATTCCCGACAGTACCATAATTTTGGGACATACTGTATCGTAAAGTGTGTCTAGAACCGAACGGCTACCTCGAATAAGGTTCTGTGACACGGTTTTGTCGAAATTCAGTTATCAGTAGACGGCGGATTTTATGCGTGTATGATAAAAGTGAATAGGTCAAGTACGAAACTAAAAAGATATTAAAAGAACTTAAGGACAATTTTTACTTGGCGTAAAGATCCGCAGTTTAGCTGTCAGCGTATGATTCTGTATGATTCAACATGATTCTACACTGTCCGTAGATCGCTTTAGTGTAGACTAATAAATATTCTGTCGGGAGTTGGTCTTAAATAGAGAAAAAGGAAGCTCTTCAAACCGTAGCTAGTAGATAGCTATTATAAATATTCTATTCTTTATAATACATTTACAGTAAATTCTCCCTTATTGACACTCAGTGTGTACACAAAACCAAACAATTTGGGAAGAGTAGACACGATTATTCGAGCTTTGCAGCTCATTTTTAAAGTTATTGATAATCGGTAACTATAAAAACGAGACGCAAGGATCGAAGAATCATACCTCCTCTTCCCAAATTGTCCATTTTTGCGTACAAGCTAAGCGTCAATTAGAGAGAATTTACTGTATATTGTTTCATGGTGGAGTTGTATGTTTTGCCGTCCTCAATTGTTTTATTACACTGTAATCGATGTTGAAATCAGTTGATTGCTTCAATAGAATAAAGGGTCTATGTTATTGGAGACTGCCTGAAAGGGTCGATCAGACACGGTATAGCAGACTGAAGTCAGGAGGCGTTGTTTGGTTTTAATCGGCCGCATTCGAGTCCCTTGTTTCGTGGAAACTCAGTGTTGCGGCTAACTTGGGGCTAATACGAAGGGGCGCGTTTGCCCTACTTCTGCGCGGGTGTCAACATGGGCGAATTGGTGGAAATCGGTCTACACTTTTCTCAGCGGACTGTTCGTCACGTTTAGAGCTCGGTAATTCTAGTTTTAACCCTTAGCGCTCCGAAGGCTCCGCTGCGGAGCCAAATGTTTTTAGCATACGTTATCGTCGGCGTTAGCAATTGTTATCTGTAGTTAAAACGTGCTAAGTCTGTACCATTACAATTAAACCATTTTTTGACCTTTTCTATGGTTAGCAACATGGAGAAAAATAAATATTATGATGAGAATTTAGAGCCGTGTGATAATGAAGATGTATTTGATTTTGAAGAGTTAAGAGACATTGTGGAAGACAATGTTGGTTATGATTCTGACACTTCAAGTAGTAGTAGCGAAATTATACTACCAAAGAGACGAAGAATGAGAATTATTGAAAGTGAAAGCGAAGATTCGTTAGACTTAGAAGACTTAGATGAATGGCGTGATGTTACGGAAGAATTACATATTCCAGATAGAATACCTTTTAGTGTATTGCCACAGGTCATTGGACCACAAGTTCCTACAAACATTGAACAGCCGAGACAATATTTTAAATTATTTTTCACGGACGAATTGGTAAATGAAATTATAAAGGAAACCAACAGTTACACAGAAAATGTTCTAAACTTGGAAGGAATATCTAGTAACTCTATTTGGCAAAGTGAATACTGTGACACTTGTCCAAGTAAACCCAGAATGCACATGGGAGATTGTTACCAAAGATATCTCACCATGGTGAATTACAAAATTTAAAATTTATCTCTTATTTACAATAGGAAAATGTATATTTATAAAATAAATAAAATCAAATGCAGTCACAAGGACGTGTAATCTTTACGGCTCAAAATAAGACTTCCTTTATCTCAGGCGCTCCACTCCAAAAATGTGCCGGAGTTGCTGGTAGGCAGTACTCGAGAAATGTGCGGAACGCTAAGGGTTAAGTAATACCACCTAAATATCTTTCAACCACTTGCCCTATAATATCACTTTCAACCCGATCTATTAAATACGCACGCTATTCAGGTCTTTTAAATCGAAATAAAATTCTATCCTACTATTATCAATATTTAAAGATTAAAGTAAAGATTGCATCGTCATTTATTGATGACAAACCAAAGCCAACCAATCATAGTACAGAAAACATTTTCTTGTTACCAACTAAATACACTCCCAATTAAGAACACCGATTGCGAGCCAACGCGAGAGTCACCAGCAAACTCCCAGCCAATCCGAGCAAAGAAGAAATCTCTTCTCTGCTCTTTAGCGTCCGGCTGTATCGTTACGTGACGTTACAAAATACTATAGCTTAAATATCACGGCCAAGGAACTTTCGATGCATCGTCGAAGGGTAGCTCTTAAATCAGCTCCGGCCTCGAAGATTTCCGGATCTTGTTCTTTAGACCTCCCCGCCCACTCGATTCCTATTCTCTCTAGCGCTATCCACGATTCAATTGCACGGAGAAGAGAGCAGAGGGCGAAAGACGAAGAAGAAGCGAAGAAAGGATCGAAAGGAAGTCGAGAAAAAGCCGAGCCGAGCGAACCAACGAAATTGGATACCTCTAATGGGTGGCTGGGCGGTAGCCTAGAACTCTTTCTCGAACCTGTCGTATCTGGAAACGGAAATAAACTTTGGGGAGTGGAGCCAAATATCTGTGTCCCTCTCTCGCCGAACTTCCGGCACTCACAGAATGCGGCTTGATCCTCGCTGGACCGGTTCTTAAGATCTCCGGATAGATTCCCGGCGAGATGGCAGACTCGCGTTAACCTCGGTTCGTTCGTTCCCTCGTCCGCTGCTTTTTGCGTCTCCGCTTCTGCCGGATGCTCGAAAATCGGACTGGCAAAACTTGCTGGGCAACCGGATCGCGATCCGGTCCGCGCGAGGTAACGACTGTCGGTCGACTGTCGGGGAGAACCGTACCTCTATAATTATCCTCGGTTTTACGAAGGACTTGTTGAACCGCGATCGAACGTCTCGAGGGAAATAAAGAAAACGATGCCATCGATATGTCCAAGTAGGTCGAGCTCTCCTAGTCGTCGTCTCGAGCGCCTCCTTTGTCGCGGGAATCGCCGGACAAAGTGAGTAACGAGCTACGAACGAGCATGTCAAAGACCGCCGATTTAAACGGAAATATTGACACAGAACGGAGCACTTTCAGACTGAAAGTCCGAGGACCCGTGGAGCTGCACGATAGTCTCTGCTATACGTTATGTTCTGAATTCAACGCTGGATGCAAATCCGTAAGATCCGCCCGTGATTTTAGATTTCTTTCCGAGAACACGCGACAAATCCGCGAGAATCTCGCGTTCAATTGTCAAAGAATCTGCGAGAAATGTTTGTAACGTGAAATTGAATCCTAAGATTAATGACACAAATATTTATGCAATATTTATGTATGCTGATGATTTTTCAATCTCGAGTGAAAAATTGGTTTACGTTTCAGTTGTAAATTTGTGACAGACCAACAATTTTTCTGTGCTGATTTTATACGGTCTTACGGTCTTACTAGTATAGTATAGTAGTATAGTAGTAATATAGTATAGTAATTTGTATTCATTGTTCAAAGTGTTAGGGATTTTTAAGAGTGATCTTCGTTTTGTAACGTGTTCGTGAAATTTGACTGTGGGAAGATCAGACGGTAGAATCGGGCTAATTTGGAGCCAGAGTTTAAAAATTCTTACGAGAATATCAAGTTTCTGACAACTATAATAATTCCAATTTTCACAGGTTTCACCAAGGTTTATAAAAAAACTGACAAGTCTAGAAATCTTAAAAAATATGTTGAACGAAATTGATAAATAAGATTAGAGATCATCGTAAACATGCACGATTATATTTTTGTCAGGAAGGTTTCCCGTTCGAGTCTAGCGTAAAAACATTTTTAGAGAAAACCACTTAGGGGATTGTGATAGCAGAATATTCAATATTCACCTACGTATTTACGATAAATTACGGAATTTTATTCTGTAAATGAAAAGACCATTCCTTCAGCCTCAAGTCAATACGATTTAGTTGAAGTACAACGAAAATAGGATCGAGGATGTAATTTTTAATATTAACATGTACATTCCTAATAAATAAGAGATCCATCACAGAAAGTTAGTTAACCTTAAAATGTTTTCAAGCGAAAGTCATTTGATCAGAATTGAAAGTAGATATCGATGCTGATAGAATAATATGAGTGGGTCAAAATCATAGCGGCGTAAGTCACATTTCCCTGATTACAAGGAAAACAAGGAGCGTTATTGTTTACTGGCTAAATTTATTGTCAAGATAATTCAAAGTTAAGTTAATTCATAGCATTCTATCGTTTATTTCACTTGTCAACATTTTTGCCTGTATGGGCTACATTTTGAGACGCAAATCAAATTTTCAAAACCTGAAATTTGTTAAACCTTAAATTTTCTAACCTACTCAGTCGATTCATCTTCCACGAATTTTTAAATCTTTGACAGTAGATATTTCGCAGAGTGTTGAAGCTAAGCGTCTATAATTTTTAAATCACAGT